CTGTGTCGTGGCCTTTGTGTCCTTCCACAGAGCAGAGGTAACAGATGCACCGCTGGTCAGTGCGACAGAACATCTTCATCACCTCATCGTGTTGGGAGCACATGTTGTCTTGGAGATTCTCAGTGGGCTCCACCAGTTTGTGCTTCTTTAATGCTGCCACGTCATAATGAGGCTGAAGATGCTCTTTACAGTAAGAGACCAGACACTGAAGACAGGATTTTACAGCTTTCACTTTGCTCCCAGAACACAAATCACAGGACACATCTCCATGAGCAGCAGAGCAGTGTGACCACTGGAGCAAGCTGGAGGTCCACTCTTCTTAAGTCCCTCCATTAAAAGAGCCAACATGGTGTTTTTCACCAGGACAGGTCTCTGACTGAAGCTCTGTCTGCACTGAGGGCAGCTGTAGCTCTGTTTCCCCACCTCTTCATTCCAGTGAGTGTTAATACAGATCATGCAGTAGCTGTGACCACAGGGAATAGTGACTGGAATCTTCAGTAAATCCAGGCAGATGGAGCAGCTGAAGAGCTCTTGGTCTATTCCCAGTTCCTTTGCAGCCATTTTGCTGTGGATGAAAAGCAGAGTTCTTCCTTTCCCTGGTGTTGTGTTGCTACTGCGCTTTGCTCCTTTTTTTCTATCCGGTTCAGGCGTCACTTCCCCCGCTGCAGCAGCCAATCACAGACCAGTAACACCAGGAAGTGTTTGTAAAGAGCTCCGCCCCCATGTCTGAGGGGGAGGGTAGTTTACATTTGAATCTGGTTGCTCAGTAACAAAATTTAAAGGGACAGTGTTTCTATTACAATATAAACATCATGTTTTTACCAAGATTTGACTTTTTATCTTTCATGTATTTTTGGTTGCTACTTTAAATATTGAATATTTAAGCTTTGAAAAGCACAGAGACACATTTCTGAGCAGCTTTTTCCTTTGAGGCAATTCATGTAAGACAAGCATTAGACAGCGGTTAAAGTGTTTAATTTCCCTTAAAATACAGCAAAGACAATAATAAAAATAAAATGTATCAACCTGCTGTTTGAACTGATTCATGTTTGATAATGAACTTTTCCCACATCAGCTGATCAAATGTTTGCAACATGAAGTGTCTCCAAACAATGAAACAGCTTCTGTAAAGTTTCTGTAATGAAATGAGGATGAAAATATTGATGAGAACAGAGCAAATGTTTTCCTTCTGCACAAAGAAAATGGTAAAAAGGTTGCAGTTTTGATCACTGACCAGATCGACTCATTTATTGAACGTTAAAGGTTCTAAATGACACCAAACTGATCTGTGAGCTGTCAGTCATGTTACAGTGTTTTTACCTCCAAAACCTACTTGGAGTTGTGTTTTGTTTAACACACAAACCCTGTATATTGAGGCTGAGTTCATCCCTCAAACAGATAATACTCTGTTCCACCTTGTGATGTCATGTGGTAATGCAAGTAGTGCCCCACTGTGTTTTTAAACTCCACACACTTTCATTAGAATCATTTGGATGATTTGAACCCTGAATCTTTACTGAACTCTAACTCTACTGTACAAAAGATAAAAAGTAGTGGTTCACTTGAAAACTATCTCTTCATGACATCACAAGGTGAAACAGAGCATTTTGAACTTTGGAGATGCAAACAGACTAATAATGCAGGATTACACAAACATGTGAATGAAACAAAACACAAGTCCAGGAATGTTTTTGATGAGGTGACAACAGTGTTATGTACTACAGTCAAAGTACTTGGTTTTGGTGAAAGTCGATTCTAACGAGGGTCATCACGAGACCATTTCACACATTTCACAGAATCTTGTAAACAGCCCAAGTGCTCATTAACACATGACAAAACATGACTGGACTGGGGTCGTTGTCACATGATTAGAATAATAATTCCACTTAGGAGTAAAACCTGTTTGTGTACTTCTACTACAGATTAAAGGTATGTAGAGTAGATTTACACTTAGATTTAGACAGACTTTAGTGATCCACAAGGGAATTTACTGGCTCGCACATCACTTTATATTACAATAACAAAGAGTAACAAATATAAACATTGTAATAATAAATTTGTAATAAGCAGCAATAAAAATAGCAAGAGATTGGTGTGAAATAAAGCATAATGATATAAATGGATGTACAACTATATTACAAAACAGACATATAGTAAAATAAATCCAGCAGATCAACTTTATATACAAGAGGCTGTGAGGAAAACAGTACAATGATTTGATGACTGACAGATATTGGCTCACGCTAAATATTGTAATGTAATAGTAATGCATTTTTAAAAATAATGTTACTCAAGTAGAAGTACAAAGTAGTGCCCCAAGAAATTAAAGTAAGAGTGAAAAAGTATTTTGGACAAGCACTACTCGAGTAAGAGTACAGGACAAATCTGAACAATAGAACATAATATTTGATTTATTATTTGAATTGAACTGAATTTGGAAACAAAACATAAGATGAAGAACATGATCTGATATTTTCAAAGGATAGACACAGAAATGAGAAAACCTAAAGCACATCTGAACGAGTGGTGTATATGAAGAGCTTTATGAATTTAAACCTGACAGATTCTCAGAAATAAAGTCAATGAGACAGCTATTACAAATAATAATAATTAAAAAACACTATATTATTCTAGAGTAAAAACATTCTGGCAGTTATTATTTTGATTAATTCTCCAACACCAACACTTTTTCTCATTACAAATGAAGCTGTTTTCAGTTTACTTACTTGGTAAAATAAAATAAACTCATGTTTGAACAGTAAGGCAGCATTTGTAGCAGTTATAAAATAGGGGATGGAAAGTTAATACTTTTCTAAAGTCTAACTGAACATTTGCGTCAAAGATCTTGTAGCTGTGAACAAAGCCAGACTGAAATTAATTCCTGTTATTAATTATTATTTATAGGAGTGGGACATTAACGTGTTAATTGTGATTAATTAGGCAAGGCAAGTTTATTTGTACAGCATCATTCATACACACAGTAATTCAAAGTGCTTTGCAGAATAAGAAATACATCAAAATCACAATACAAACAAATCAAAACATAAATAATCATCATAAAATTAAAAAGAGAGAAAAAAAAGCAATAAATGAGAGAGAAGAGTGCAGAATGAAAAATGAAAACCTTTCAGTCAGACGCAGTTAAACAGAAGTGTTCAGAGTCTGGATTTAAACAGAGTCAAAGTCGAGTCTGTCTCACATGTTCAGACTGTTCCAGGTTTTAGCTGCATGAATCTGAAACTCTGACTCCCCGTGTTTAGTCCTGACTCTGAGCACCAGCATTTAATTCATTAACTACAAAGAAAATAATGCATTAAAAATATGAACGCATTTGATCGCGGTTTGTCAACCAACGCGGAACGTTTCTCACTTCACCAAATCCTGGTACGACACTTATACTGACGCACACACTTCCGACAACAACAACAATGGCGCAGGAACATGAGCAGGAAAGTGTCTGGGTCTGGGTTTTGTTTTTTTAATTCAATATGTTCAGGGACAGGGACATCGAAGACACACAAAAACACAGAACTAACACAGAGGACACCTGGGCTGATATGCAGTCACTTACACAAGAGACAGAGAGAAAAAAAAACAAGACAAGACCACGAAACCAAGTCTACTTAACCAAATCAAAAGAATTAGAACAGTATCACATCTTATGTTACAAGTATTTCCTATCGATATTGTATGTTTTAATAGCTTTTTTGTTTTTGACTTGTTTTACTGTTTGGGAATATTGTTGTATTTGGTTATTATAAAGGTGCTCATTTGTTTTTTTAAGCGCTGTGGATCTGCTGGACGGGACACTTCTATTCCAAAAACGACCCTGGAAGTATCGGCAAAGGACTAGTTTATTGCAAACTGTGCAGAGGAGAGTTTGATATCACAGAAGCACCTCAACCCTCCGACACCACTGAAATGAAACCTGTGACAGAAGAGAAGCTGCTCCGAGTCCAAACAAGACACAACCCAAACTCAAATGACAGGCCTCAGGAAGAAAAGCAGTAAATAGAGCAAATATTGTTATGCGATTAATTGATCTTAATTCATTATAAAGCCTGTAATGAATGAGATTAATTGTTTTAATCAAGTCCCAACCCTCATTATGTATGAACCTGGTATTTTCTTTGTTTAATCATTCACCTTGTACCGGACCAGTAGAAGTTCAAAACCAAAGAATCACAACAGAATAAACTGAACGGACTGACGAGGGAGGAAATCTTGTATTAAAGTTTACAGTAATCCACTTTTAGATCACTAACTACACATGTTTGACTAGATACAACAAGGCCAAAAAGAGACATGCATGTGTGTCCACGTCAAAACAAATACAGCTGCTTCTGAGGGAAAAGATTAATAAAATATCAAAGGGACTGTAAAACATGACAGATTTCTGCTGTATGTTAATCTGAGGTGAGAGAAGTTTCATTTTAGTCTTTTATGTGTTTTATGCCTCAGACTCTCCTTTTGGTATTTAGTATTTAGTGGTGATTCGGCCTGTGCTGTGCTTTTTGTGATTAAAAACAATAACTGAACTGAAACTGTGACCAAGACAATTTTAAATGTCACAAAATGAAATGTTGCTTGTGTGAAAATAAAGTACATAATGCTTCAGATAATAGTTTCACTGTTTAACAGCAGAAATGTAAGAGTTTGACTGAATCTATATTATATGATATGATATTATATCAGATAATGGCTGCACTGAAATTTGAGGAGCCTTCTTTATTGCCAGATCCAAGTCACACCTTCTACCAGAACAGTAGAAGTTCAAGAACAAAGAATAATCACAACTTCTTTTAGTATTAATGAAGTGAAAAGAACAAGGAGGGAGAAAATGTGAGCTTTCTGTTACTTTTATTGATGTTCACAAACTTTACACATTACATCCTTCTCAAACATTGCTTTACAATGATGTTTAAAAACTGACAGAAGTCACTTCTGTCGTTCAAAATAAGATATTTACACACTGTCTGCAGTACACTGTCAAAACAAAACAGGTGGAAATGACATCAATTTTCATTTTTATAACACCATCTAAGTTCAGCTGAGCTGTTGACATCATCAAGTCGTACCCCAGCGACAAGAGGCTGTGTGAAGGTGGTCCTGAGTGTGTAGATGTGATCTCCTGCACTACTGTCACAGAAAGACCTTCTATAGAAAGACAAAATACCAGCTCTGGGATCCACAAAGACACACAAATTAAAAACTCCCTTTTGAATCTCAACTCCTTTTCCATTGTGCCAAAACACACAGCGTTGTCCACGCTGGAAACACTCCAGTGCCCAAGACTGGTTGTTCTTTCCAAAGGAACAATTGTCTGAGTCTGAGTCTGACCCATTTCTGCGTATGTCTTTGTAAGCAACTCCAAATGTAATGACGTTATCACGACGAAGTGACACCTCCCAGAAAGAGCAATCATCCAGAGTCTCTTTGCTCACAGCCTGAGGGACGTCTGTGAATCTTGCTGGGTGATGTCGGTGGTTCTGTTTGTATGCCATGCGTCTAACACAAAAGTTGTTATCTGACAGCAGCAAATTGTCATTGAGACTCTGTGGATCCCATGGATATTTTGTCATGGCATAAAAATCTGGCACAAAGGAGGTGTTTGGTTGAAGAGGCTGTGGAATGGAAGTTGGTCTGTTCACTGCAGTGTTCTGTTGTGATGGGACGCTCCCCTGAACTGCAGCAGGACGATTGTCTCTTTTAGGAGGATTCACTTTTTGGTTGTGAGCCACAGTGGGAGGTTTTAACTGACAGGACTCTGACAGTTTGTTTTTCAGGTCTGATAGAGCAGCTGATACCATGTCCTGAAAAGGTGGAGTGCTCCTGCTGGTGTAGGAGGACTTTGAACTTTTACTGACTTTAGAAATAGATGTAAACTTGCGTAAAAACTGGAGGTGGTCTTCAGTGTGTGAGAGTGAGTCCAGTTCAGAGTGGATCTTCTTCAGCTCGGTGATTTCCTGTTGCAGTTTGTCCTGAAGCTCTTTGACTTTGTGCTCCTCAGCTTCTTGTTGAGATCTGATCTGCTTCTTCATTTCACTTATTCTTTTTTCAAGGAGGCCGATCAACTCACTGAGGCCTTGGTCACTGGAATCCACAGCTGCGTTGGCACAATTTTGGATAGTCTTCCCGTCACGTTCAAGACTGGTCACATTTTTCTCTGTGTTGACAATTCTATGGATGATTTTCTCTCTGATGTTGTCCAGCTCTCTCTGCTTCTCAGTCCTCTCTGCTGCAGCCATCACTGTGTCGTGACCTTTGTGTCCTTCCACAGAGCAGAGGTAACAGATGCACCGCTGGTCAGTGCGACAGAACATCTTCATCACCTCATCGTGTTGGGAGCACATGTTGTCTTGGAGATTCTCAGTGGGCTCCACCAGTTTGTGCTTCTTTAATGCTGCCACGTCATAATGAGGCTGAAGATGCTCTTTACAGTAAGAGACCAGACACTGAAGACAGGATTTCACAGCTTTCACTTTGCTCCCAGAACACAAATCACAGGACACATCTCCATGAGCAGCAGAGCAGTGTGACACTGGAGCAGCTGGAGGTCCACTCTTCTTAAGTCCCTCCATTAAAAGAGCCAACATGGTGTTTTTCACCAGGACAGGTCTCTGACTGAAGCTCTGTCTGCACTGAGGGCAGCTGTAGCTCTGTTTCCCCACCTCTTCATTCCAGTGAGTGTTAATACAGATCATGCAGTAGCTGTGACCACAGGGAATAGTGACTGGAATCTTCAGTAAATCCAGGCAGATGGAGCAGCTGAAGAGCTCTTGGTCTATTCCCAGGTCCTTTGCAGCCATTTTGCTGTGGATGGAAAGCAGAGTTCACCTCTTCTTCCCTGGTGTTGTGTTGTTGCTTGACTTTGCTCCTTTTTATCCGGTTCAGGCACCACTTCCCCCGCTGCAGCAGCCAATCACAGACCAGTAACACCAGAAAGTGTTTGTAAAGAGCTCCGCCCCATTACATTTGAATCTTGAACAATCAACAACAAGACTTAAGGGACAATGTCACTATTACAATATAAACATCATGTTTTTTACCAAGATTTGACTTTTTATCTTTCATGTATTTTTGGTTGCTACTTTAAATATTGAATATTTAAGCTTTGAAAAGCACAGAGACACATTTCTGAGCAGCTTTTTCCTCTGTGGTAATTCATGTAAGACAAGCATTAGACAGTGGTTTAATGTGATGATTGTCCATTCTAATGCTTCTTTGTTTTATCAATCCATCATTGTTACTATTTATCAAATATATATATCAAAGCCTTTGCATGAGTATTTCTGAGTATTGAGTATTATTCTCTTAGTAGTTTTGTTTTCTCTCACTCATGCTGCTCCTGAGTTCTTGTTAAAGTGTTTAATTTCCCTTAAAATACATTATATTTTTATTATTGTCTTAGTGTATCAACCTGCTGTTTGAACTGATTCATGTTTGATAATGAACTTTTCCCACATCAGCTGATCAAATGTTTGCAACATGAAGTGCCTCCAAACAATGAAACAGCTTCTGTAAAGTTTCTGTAATGAAATGAGGATGAAAATATTGATGAGAACAGAGCAAATGTTTTCCTTCTGCACAAAGAAAATGGTAAAAAGGTTGCAGTTTTGATCACTGACCAGATCGACTCATTTATTGAACGTTAAAGGTTCTAAATGACACCAAACTGATCTGTGAGCTGTCAGTCATGTTACAATGTTTTTACCTCCAAAACCTACTTGGAGTTGTGTTTTGTTTAACACACAAACCCTGTATATTGAGGCTGAGTTCATCCCTCAAACAGATAATACTCTGTGTGTACTCTGTGTGTTTTAAACTCCACACACTTTCGCTATTAACATTTGGATGATTTGAACCCTGAATCTTTACTGAACTCTAACTCTACTGTACAAAATATAAAAAGTAGTGGTTCACTTGAAAACTATCTCTTCATGACATCACAAGGTGAAACAGAGCATTTTGAACTTTGGAGATGTAAACAGACTAATAATGCAGGATTACACAAACATGTGAATGAAACAAAACACAAGTCCAGGAATGTTTTTGATGAGGTGACAACAGTGTTATGTACTACAGTCAAAGTACTTGGTTTTGGTGAAAGTCGATTCTAACGAGGGTCATCACGAGACCATTTCACACATTTCACAGAATCTTGTAAACAGCCCAAGTGCTCATTAACACATGACAAAACATGACAACACATGACAACAGGCCCATCGTCAGGATCCAGACTGGACTGGGGTCGTTAGTTACATGATTAGAATAACGATTCCCCTCAGGAGTAAAACCTGTTTGTGTACTTCTACTACAGCTTAGAGGTATGTAGAGTACACAATTTCAAATCATATCTTCACTGCAAAAAATAAAATCTAGTCAAGTTAAGATGATATGAATTAAGACATTTTTATCATGATTTGAGTCACTTGACAAGTGAAATGATCTGCCAGTAGAATATGACTTTTTGTATTTAAAATCTGAAAATGCACTTAAAATAAGAAAAACAACAACTTTTTGCACTTAGTATAAGAAATCAAATGTTCCTTGAATTAAGAAAAGCACCCATATTCCATTAGGAGATAATTTTATTTGTCAAGTTGAATCGACTCAAATAAAGTCAAATGTTCTTCATTGAAGTCATTTTAACTCACCTAGATATTGTTTTTTCCGGTGTGAAGAGCAGCGCAAGAAACAGCATAAAAGTATAAATATACTGCCAGAAAAAGTAAAAATTTTTTAAAAAGCTACTATTCAATATAACTAGTACTGCCCACCTCTGCTAGAGATTTACAAAGCTGAAGTTCTCCTAAAATGTGTGTGGTGATAGATTTAAACATTACAACACTGATCACAAAAAAAATAAAAAAATTTAAATCAATTGCTAATTGGTTTAATATTTTCATTCTGAAAAGGCACTCAAATACTGATATTGAAAATTTAAAGAATAATATGAAAAGCACAGCTAGATTATACATATTATATAGTGTCTTGAATATACATATGTATTTCTGTCCATATACGTCCAGGGCAGGCAGAGTAACATTATAGCTTCATATTCAACAGTTTTATTTTAATGTCCTTTAGTAGAAGTTACATTCTGAGATGCATTTTCTTTACTTTTGTTTCTTCTGTTTACTATTGAACATGATACCATCATGCAAGCTGAAAAATCCAATCACAACCCACCCCTTGCGCTCATGTGGACTGAGCTGCAGCAGATGTTTCCTTCACCTTCTCTTCTCTCTGATTGGCTATTGCTCTGATGGCGGGTGCAGCCAGTGGATAAATACAGACAAGTACCAACACAAATCTCATCAGAACCAGCAACAGTCACAGAGACAATGACAGAGAGAGCACTACAACTCAACCATGAGACCTTCAACTGCTCCGTCTGCCTGGATTTACTCAAGGTTCCAGTCACTATTCCCTGTGGACACAACTACTGCATGAGCTGCATTAACACTCACTGGAATGGAGAGATGAGCAGGGAAAGCTACAGCTGCCCTCAGTGCAGACACAACTTCAGCTGGAGGCCTGTCCTGGTGAAAAACACCCTGCTGGCTGCCTTGGTGGAAGAGCTCAGTAGATGTTCACTTCCAGCTGCTCCAGTGTCACACTGCTCTGCTGCTCATGGAGATGTGTGCTGTGATTTGTGTTCTGGGAGCAAAGTGAAAGCTGTGAAATCCTGTCTTCAGTGTCTGGTCTCTTACTGTAAAGAGCATCTTCAGCCTCATTATGACGTGGCAGCATTAAAGAAGCACAAACTGGTGGAGCCTACTGAGAATCTCCAAGACAACATGTGCTCCCAACACGATGAGGTGATGAAGATGTTCTGTCGCACTGACCAGCGGTGCATCTGTTACCTCTGCTCTGTGGAAGGACACAAAGGCCACGACACAGTATTGGCTATAACTAAAAGACAGGAAATGCAAGGAGATTTGGAGGATAGTATCCAGAAGACCCGGCAAAGAATCCAGGAAAAACAGATGCAAGTGGATTTACTACAAAGTCAGGCAGATGATGCTGTCCGATGTGGCAATACAGCTGTGGAGGAGACGGACAGGGTTTTTACACAGATCGCTCGTTTGGTAGAGAGAACCAAGACAGAAGTAAAGAGACACATTAGATCCCAACAACAAACTGAGGAGCAAAGAGTCAAAGAGCTCCAGGAGAAACTGCAGCAGGAGATGACCGAGCTGAAGAGAAAGTACAACAAGCTGGAGAGGCTCTCACACACCGAGGACTATAGTGGCTTTATTCTCACTTTTACATCTTTGTCAAAAGTCAGTGACATGTCTGACCTTTCTCCCACAGAGACAAGACCACTATTGTTCTTAGATGTTGTTACAAATGCAGTAGCAGAACTTGGAGAGAAATTGCTGGACCCTTCTGCTCTGAATCGAATTGTTGCTGAAGAGGACACAGGCGCTGGCCTTCCAGAAGACGATGCTCACGCATCTTTGGACTCTTTGGAGTGGCTGCCTCTCCCGCACATGAACTTCCATGGGCAAACAGTGCATTTCCAACAAGATCTGGACACACTGGCTCCAGAAATCGTGTCCAGCTTTCAAACTGAGGTGACTTCAAGAGCTGAATTGTTGTCATATGCTTATAGTATAACACTGGACCCAAACACAGTCCACCCTCTGCTGTCTCTGAGTGCGGAGGACAACATTGTGAGATACATGAACTCTGAGCAGGAGCACCCTGAGAACCCAGACAGATTCACTGACTTTGCTCAGGTTCTAAGCAAAGAGATTCTGACTGGTCGCTGTTACGTGGAAGTGAAGGGGAGATGTGAGGACTACTTTTCTGTGGTTGTGGCTTACAAGGACATTAGGAGAGAAGGAGCATTTGATGATTGCAGCTTTGGCAGCAACACCATGTCCTGGGCTTTAGATTGCTACAGTGATGGATATGTGTTTTGGCATAACAAAGTCAGCAATACTTTCACAGCCTCACCTTCAAACAAAGTTGGAATATTTGTGGATTCCGATGCTGGAATTGTGTCCTTTTACAGTGTCACTCAGGAGGTGTCTCTGATCCACACCGTTCACATCACCTTCACTCAGCCTCTGCTCGCCGGGATTTGGCTCAAGGATGTCGCAGACTGTGCTGAGATCTGCAACATTTCCCATCATTAGAAAACAAAAATATGGGTGACTTTCAGATTCTAGAACGTGAGGATGTCATGCTCCCAGATAAGGGCAGGAGCAAGATTTTTCTGATGATCATATTGTACTTTTCCATGAAAAAGGTAAAATCACACATTTTGGATCTGATAATTTCTGAGAGACTACATCCACAAAAAATCTGAATTGAAGTATTAAATATGATCGACCTATAGAATGTTGTGATGTCACCTCAAACCCAGCAATTGATTATAGATTTTTATTTTCTTTTTTTAATTGAACTGATCTTCTTTTTCTAAATAAAGTTTTGTTTTTTTTGGAATGAAATGTTTTTGTATTTGTCTGATTTGTTAATCTCTTTAACCAGAAGTAATATATAATAATAATAATTATTATATACATTTTCATTACATTAGAATGAAGAAACACAACTACACATGATTGAGATTCACATTATTTTTTGTAACATTGCTTGCATGAGCATAAGTTATTAGCGTCCCCTTCACACATTTGTTCAGTTTTATTTGAGCGCCATCTACTGTCCACCTCTACATCCAACACTGTCAGGTCCATGTTTGCATTTAGAAAAGTCACTGTAATGAACAAAAACTTAAAACTTTTATTTAATTTGATTTATTGCAGATATGATTGATGTTACACTGGTTTCTTGATAGTACGATAAAAAGAGGCTAATGTCAGAAAATTCTTCATTTGTAGCTCTGAACAGGACATCAGACAGCGGCCTACAAGCCATATTAATAATATCATCCGTTTTCTAAAAAGACATCCAAGGCTTTTGGAGCGAAGTAATACAAGCATAATGAAAGAAGGCATAAGAAGATGTAGATTGTAACCATGAGTATTTTTGCGCTGTTTAGAAATTTGCTCAGAGTACATTATATAAAAAATATTAAATTAAAGGGAAGGTGCAGTTACTGGTTTAAAAGTAACTATCACTATCACTTGAGTTGCCAGTTTCTGGACTAGGTTTAGTTGTGAAAACTGGCAGCCCAAATGAGAAACTTGTGAAGCTTTTTCTGTTTTCTGATTGAGTAATTGTCTTGAGAACCAGAGTACAAAAAGTGCAAGGAAAACAACTTGGCGTCATGTACAATATGTTGTACTCAATAATAAATAAGCATTACAACTGTTATCTGTAAATGCACTATTGGGTTTTAACAGCAGGTTTACCTTGTATCTGGTGACAGTTTGTACAGATACAGTAGTAAATTCTAAATACCCCGCCTAGTGTCAGTGGCATTTGTAATTTGCCTGAGTTTGATACTTTATAGATCCATTTTCAATACTGGAAATACTGTTGTATCATTAAGTCAATGAAATTAAGGCAAAATACAATGTGTAAGTTGTTTCTGTTCCTTTGGTTGTGATTCTGTGTAACTGTTCTGGTGGAGGGACCAACAAATACTTTTGTCCATGGAGATGTTATTGCTTTGTCTGGATGTTTCACAGTATGGCATCAACTGTTCTATCTTCATGGAGACGAAACTAGACCAAGTTACAGGTCAGAGGTGACCCCGCTCACAGTCATGTCATGGTATTTATTGCGATATTTTGGAGAGGCTGATATAATTGTAGATACGACATGTTTCTGCTTTTAAAATACCTTGACAAGATTTTGGTGTGAATTATTTTCATCACAATCCCAAGAATTCAAGTAAAAACATATTTCTTCATGTTGTCTGCACTGAAATAAATAATGGGATATGTATTTCCCAATGTTTATAAGCTGTTGCTACGATAAAACCATGCATTTAAACACCCAGGAACTTGTAATTAAATAAAAAAAATATATATATTGTGACAGCCCATGATATTATTGAGAGACTTTTGACGATACGATATCTCAATATTCAGTGTTGGGGAGTAACAGATTACATGTACCGGAGTTACGTAATCAGAGTACAACTTATGAGTAACTGTATTCAGCTACAGTTACTGTTTCCATGAGTAGTAATTGGATTACAGTTACTTTATTGAAATACATGGATTACACGACGGTATTTTCCTGTTAACATTTTGGGCTATATCCCCCCCCCTTTTTTTTTTTTTTTTTTTTTGGTAATTCCACTCATTGCCGGAAACTAAACCAGGTCTAAACTAGATCTAAACTAGATCTAAACCAGGACTAAACCAGGTCTAAACTAGATCTAAACCAGGTCTAAAACCAGGACTAAAACCAGGTCTAAACTAGATCTAAACCAGGACTAAACCAGGTCTAAACCATGACTAAAACAGTTCTAAAAACAGGACTAAACCAGGTCTAAACCACGACTAAAACAGTTCTAAAAACAGGACTAAACCAGGACTAAACCAGGTCTAAACCACGACTAAAACAGTTCTAAAAACAGGACTAAACCAGGACTAAACCATGCTGGGCGGACATGTCTCCTCATCTTCTATCAATAATATCTTTAATACAGTTAAGTAAAGACTGGGTTTTTTATTTTCTTTTAGCAGACTAAACATCTTACGTTACAATATCCTAGTCTTTCAAGTCAATAATCAAGTAATCCAAAGTATTCAGATTACGTTACTCACTTTAAGTAATTTAATGGATTACGTTACAAACTACATTTTGAGGTATGGAATCTGTAATCTGTACGGGAATACATTTTAAAAGTAATCTTCCCAACACTGACAATATTTCAGATATTGTTACATCCTTAGTAGAGCTCTTTTATGTCATACTGTGGAACATTCCAGGTGGAGCAGTCACATCTCCCTAGAAACCAAAAACTTACACAGTGCACCTTTAAAGTCAGTTCATCATGACAATTTAGTGCATTTCTTTCTTCAGCTCACAGAACTCAGCATAGGCCCCTTGGTAACCCCCAAACCACAGCCCGGCGTACAGGGGCCGCGTGAACACCGTCTGCACCCTGTGAAGCAACGTCACCGTGTCCGAAACGCTGTAAAACGCCAGCAGCCCCTCTCTGTGATCCACGTACACGCCAATCCGAGACGTCCAGGGCCCCGAAATGGGAGTTTTAACCGCCTTGTGTATGAACTTGTAACTACTGCTGGTGTTACACTCAAGAGCCCAGGATTTATCATTGAACCCAAACGCCACATCTATCATGCTGCCCGCTCTGGCGATGTCCCTGTACGCCACCGCCACCGTGACGCGCTTCTTTCTCCACTCCACCTCAAAATAACAACGTCCACTTTCACTCAGACTTTCTTTGCTCAGAATCTGGCGCCAGCGTAAAAACCTCTCCGGGTGTTCTGGGTATGTAGTTTCTTCTCTGAGCAGCGTGGCCCTTCTGTCATCTTCGGATAAGGCCAGTTGCGCGTTCATGGTATTCGGATCCAGCGTAATTTGGCACGCGTAACGGAGGAGCGCCCCTCTGCTCGCTGGCTCGCTTTGAGATGGGGCTGCTGGCGTTTCTGTGGTTACATTTTCGTACAAAATCTCCTTTATTTTGTCTTTAGTTTTTGAGATATTCGCTGCCACGTTTTCAAAGCAGGATCTCGGTTGAGTTTTAATCCTTGGTAACTCCGGTGTTACGTTGAGTTCAGCTACAGATGAGAAATCCTCCAAAAACTGTCCATCATTTTGGTAAACAAACAGCTTCCCTATTTCAGCCTCTTTCCACTTTAACTCTGTAATTTCTTGTTCGAGATTATCCTGAAGTCTTTGCACTCTTACCACTTCTTTTTCCAAGTTGGATCTGATTTCTTGCTTCACCTCGAAGTGTCTTTTCTGGATGAGATTTTGTAATTCAGCAAAAATGTTGTCACAATCTTTAGCAGCTTTCTCCGCTGAATTGAAGGTTTTGTCCAGTTCAATCTGAAGCACTTGGAGATCTCTTTCTTTATTTGAAATCTGCTGGTGGATTTTCTGTTGTTTTGTCTCTAGTTCTTTTTGCTTTTCAGTCCTCGCAGCTGCAGCTGGCACCACCGTGTGATTTCTGTGCTCATATTTAGCGCATATTATGCAAATGCAGCACTGGTCGACTTGGCAGAACATGTCCATCGCTTCGTTATGTTTTGCGCAGATCACTTCTTGGTCTCCTTCTATCTCCAAATCTTCTACCAAATTCGCCAACATTGTATTTATAGCCAGGGCAGGCCGTGGTCGAAAAGTCTGGCAGCATTGCGGACAGCTGTAGACTCTGCGCTGGTCCTCCTCGTCCCAAAACTTTTTAATACAACCCATGCAGTAGTTGTGCTTACACGGCGTTGTTACGGGGTTGTTGAGTAACTCCAGGCAAATAGAGCAGTAGAAACGCTCCCTGTTTTTCTGAAGTCCGCTATGAGCCATGTTTTCGTCCTTTAGAAGATTTTACTTCTTCGTCTGGGTGGAAAGATGACGCTGTCTCCGCCGAACTTTTTCAACAACTCAGTTCGTTCCTGTTATTGCTGATCCACAAGTCAGGTGGAGCGGATTGTGTTCACGCTGACAGGCGGAGTGTAAGGATCCAGATGAATTATAGATTTGCAGACCGGGGTAAACAGGAAGTTGGGAGCGGCAGGAAAACGGGATTATATTTTAAAGGGAAATTGATGCTAGTTTAAGCATGGATTTATTTTGTATTTACCATTAAATTCGGGTTAAACTTCTAAAAAGGAAATAAAAAATATCGTTCATTGAAAGTTTAGAGCCTTTTTTTCTGTTTGTTTGCTTTCACAGGAGATACTGTGATAGGGCTGCCTGAAACTGTTTGCAGTTTTGTTATTTAAATGAGTAAATGAACAGAACCATTTACACTTTGGGAAATGCAAACGTCTCTGAATGACCCTCTGATTAGGTGAGTCTAGACTAGATAAAATTCACTCATTTGCCTGCGTGTGCTAATGGGACTTCCATCATTAAAATGCAAAGCATTTGGTAAGGTACAAAGAGCTGTGTGTTCATTTGTTGCTTATTCAAAATCGAGATGTTTTCATCTGGTTTAGAATGGCTTAGCCTTCTAAAGAAAATATGCACATATTTGTAGAGGTGTGTCTAAAATACCAGCATCTGAATGTCTGTCTACCTAATTTGAAATTTTAATTTAAAAAGTTGTATTTGGCCTACTTTTTTTTTTATTTATTCATTTATTTTTTTATCAGTGCAACCCCTAAATCATAGCTTTTTAGTCACTGCAAGGTTTTCACTCCGCACTCTTCTCTAATTTAATGTCTCGCTCTCTTTTTAATTCTATGATGATTATTTCTGTTTTGATTTGTTTTTATTGTGATTTTAATGTATTTCTTATTCCGTAAAGCACATTGAATTACTTTGTGTACGAATTGTGCTGTACAAATTAACTTGCCTTGACTGAATACGTAGGGTGCCTATTTTATACCTAGCAGCTTGGTGTAGTTTACCCGACAATACCATCCTAATCACCTCATAGCGACATGTCCTGTATATATTAATATACAAGAAGTAGAGGGAAGGCAGTGTCAGACAATGGTGCAGCAGCCAGTATTATATTGTATGTGTGTAATTTACTTTTCATTTGGACCACAAGGTGGCGATGTCCAGCAGAGATTAAACCTAGGAGCAGAGTTTCATCACATATAGTCCAGTCACCAGCAGAGGGAGGAGAAGAGGGGTATGAGTCCTTATGTACTCCTAGAGACGTGTCTGAACAGGAGAGGTATGTGTTGTGTGCAGCAGACACTCCCAGAGCTCACAACTCTGTTTCTATAGAAAGAATTGTATCGCCTCGGGACACGCTTTTTACTCACCACAACATTCAACAAGTGTGCCAGTCTCTAATATTCCCTGAACTCTGCAAAGAATAACAAAAGACAAGGCATGTCTCGTCCTATTCCAAAGAACTTTGTGCTCTTCATCACTGCTCCTACTCCAGATAATGACACACACGACACACATTTTCATACAGTGTCTTTGTGGGACAAAGATAAACTTCCTTTAAGAGAATACATATTAACCTCCCAAGTCATCTAACAACACTTTTTTATTATTATTTTACAAATCCATGAAAGATATTTAAATGAATATACAGTTGACATGACAGCTGACAGCAAAAGGCCCATAGATGATGAATGACTTTAGTTCAGTTCAGACTTTAGTGGCACTGTTAACTTTTAGACATTGTTTTTTGCTAAATTGTGTTTTAATGTTCTAATGTAAACAACCTTCAGGATTTTCAAGTGTCCACTCCGAGTTACAAATACACATTTATACACTCAACAAATGCATTTTTCCTACAACCAAAAATACCAAAATAGATAAAAGTCCCTGCAAAAACACAATATTCAAAACATTTCAGACTGACTACACTGGAAAAATCAGGTGCACTGGTGAAGGGTCTGCCTCGCTTGTCTCCATGAAAACGTCATTGTTTTGTCTGGAATGTCCTGGAATGGCATTAAACGTATCCCTCTTGTGTTTACTCAATAACATGGATTTTTTTATTGACCTAAAAGTTGCATTCTGACTGTGCATGGGCTTGTCTCTCCACAGATCTGACATGTAACTTGGCCCTGTGGTGTCATCTGCTATCTTGGTAGAGATAAATAAGTGTCATTGTTGTTTTATTTATTTGACAGTGACGGGCATCTGTAATAAGAGTGTAAATATGACTCACTATAGGAAGGTGACAGAAAACTACACAAAACACAGAGGAGTTACACAGAATCAAAACCAGAGCCAAAGTAATGCCATTCTCAGGAACATTCCAGGCAATAGAAGCAGGTGATGGACCCTCCAGCAGAAAAGATACACAGCGCTACCTTTAAAACCTTGACGTTGCAAATCAGTCCCTTTGTTGACACAGACCCTCTTAGACATAGTCCCGGCCTCCCTGCCCCGAGGAGGTGGGGGGGTAGCGGGGCGTCTTACCGGAGCTGCCCTGTCCGGAGCAGTTACAGCAAAGGAAAGCCCCTCCGATGAGACTGAGGCAGGCCGCGCCCCAGCCCAGGTACAGCGCACTCCCAAACTCATACCTGCACGAGACAGGACAACAAGTTTCACTCTGTCATTCGCAGAAACAGTTTACGTCAGATTTCCAAACAGTGATACTTGGAATTAGAGAGGACATTTAGAAAACAGCTTTGTGAGCTTTTAGACATTACCTCCTCAAAAACAGACCTAGAGTTGTGTTTTGTTTCATTCACATATGTTTCAGTAATGCTTTATTATTAGTCTGGCTACATCTCCAAACCTCAACACGCTCTGTTCCACCTTGTGATGTCATGCAGTGGTAGTTTTCAAGGGAACAGCTCCTTTTACCTTTAGTTCAGTAGAGATTGGCAATTCCAGGTCTTAAATTATCCTATGATTCTAGTGAAGGTGTATGGAGTTTAAAAACACAGTGGAGCACTTCCTGTATTACCACATGACATCACAAGGTGGAACAGAGTGTTTTCTGTTTGAGAGAAGAACTCAGCGTAAATGATGAGGAATGATGAGGAGACCACGTGATAACATGGGTCAGAAAATAGTGTAATATGGGGTCTTTAAAGTTGCACTATGTAACTTTGTCTCCATGAAGATGTTAATGCTTTGCCTGGATTGTTCCACAGACTGACATGACACTTATCTATTTCCAGGAAGACAAACAGCCCACAGCAAGACTGCATGTTTTGTTTTGTTTTGCAGTAAAAACACTTGAATACAAATGAATACATAAATACATTGACAAGTTTAATGAAATACTGTGGGACATTACAGGCAAAGCATTAACATCTCCATGGAGACAACTGGCACTCCCTACAAGAGAAAAGCTCCACAGTAGGGCTGGGTATCATTAAGGAGTTGCCAATACGATACATACCTCGATACACAGGCCACGATACGATATATATGTCGATACAGTGCACTTTTGATTTGATATGATATATTTCAAATCGATTCGATATGGTTCAATAAAAAATAACAGTGGCTGTGACACTAAAAGGCTTTGTTAAATTACTTCTTGTGCAAAGTTCATATGAAACACAAACATTTTAATCCTCAAAACAGTAAAAATGTCAAATGTGTCGCATAAATGAGCTTCCTTTCACTCCACAAGCAACAAAACTGTAGCTGTAACAAAATAATTTAGTAAAACACACCTAAAAATACTGTTAGTGAAATATCAATACAGTAGCCCACGATATCAATACTGTATCATCACATTAAATGTAAATACGATATATCGATATTCTGATATTTTTGCACACCCCTACTCCACAGTGTATCTTAAACTGAAAACCTTTGAAATGCTGTGAGATGAGAGCAGAGTGGAGCTGCATGATCATTATGAAATTCCTTGAAATCTTTAAAGGTAGAGAACGTACTTGGCGTTGGTGGGAGTGAAGGGGTTGTAAAAGTCCTGTGCCACCCTGTGCCCGTACCACGAAGTTCCAACCAGAGCCATGAGCCCTAGAGAGAGAAGAGCAAAGGAAATGTAGTGCATGAGATCAGGGTCATTTATTGTCTTTATTGTTTATTTGAATAGGGACAGATAATAAAGATACAAACAGATTAACAATTCAGTAAAATGAAGCAGGTATCCCAGTCTTAGAGCTTTCACTACAAAAAGCAATATCTAGGTCACTTAAATTGATTTAAATAAAGAACATCAGATTTAGTTTCTTATTTAAAGGGCAAAAAGTAGTTTTTTCTTATCTTACACTGTAGCAAGACGTATTTTCATATTTGAAATACAAAAAGTCTCAATCCATTGGCAGATCATTTTACTCGTCAAGTGAAATTTACTCAAATCATGATCAAACTTTCTTAATTCAAGTCATCTGAACTTGGCGAGATTTGAGTTTTTATAGTTTTTGTTCACTAGAAAGCAGTGGGATAATGCAGGGCTGTAAACTCACAACAAGACAGGTCATGTTTAAAGTGTGACTCGTGTGACACCGAGCTGCAGCGCCGTGATGAGAATTAACAGGAGCTAAAATGAAGAATATGGGATTTATTTCTAATACAAGTAACAAGAAATGTATTCATTTATTTATTTATTTTTGACAAAATTTAACATGAAGTAACAAAAACCGTGAGGGTTCAAAATAAAATTAAAAAAAGAAAAAACTCAAACCATTAGATGAGTAAGAACAAATATCTTGCCACTGCTCCATTAAAGGTGCACTGTGTACTTTTCTCATGGAGGGCATGATACCTGCTTGTGTCCATGGAGATATTACCGTCTTGATTATTCGACAGTTTGCAAAGAACTCCTGTTATTTAAGGTATTTTTGAGCTATAAAACATGTCATTGAACAAATGCAAGGCAGATATGTTTAATGCCCTACACAGGAACATTCTATGCAAAGACATAACATCTCCATGCACACAAGCTACAAACCCTCCACCTTAGAAGTTACACAGTGCACCTTTAATAATGTCCTTTTTTGAGGAAAAAAAAAAAAGCCTGCAGTCGCTCTAGAAAAATGCTGAAAAGTGCTTTTTTAATAATCTCCAACTGTGCAAACTGTGCATATGATTGAAAGGTTTTTATTTTGCACTTTTAAAGTTAAATATATTATGATTATTTACGTTTTCATTTGTCTGTATTGTGATTATTGTGATCTTTTTGAATCTGTAAAGCACTTTACAATTACTTTTTAATTACAATTACTTTATGTACAAATTGTGCTATACAAATAAACTTCAATACAAGGTTGAAAAAGCTCAGGCACTCAAAAAGTACAAAATAATGAAATTCACTTTTAACTTTGTATTTGAGACTGGTCCCTATACTGAAAAGCACCAAAAGGACAGTTTTGCACAATCTCTGTACGTCCAAGTAGCACTCATGTCCCTAAAGCTTTGCGACCTTGCCTTTTCTTTTATGAATAGATTAGACATTTGGAGCTTGTCTCACATCATGAGTGAACTGTGTACTTCTGACCTGCAATGATGAAGACCACTCCTCCGCCCAGAGCCACCTTGTCCTTCTGCTGTGGAGAATCTGCCATACAAGTGGTGCACCTCATGCCCACCACGGCCACCATCATGGCAATGAAGGAGAAGAGCACAGAGGCCAGCATGAGCCCGCGGGTGCCCTGCACGATCCCTGCACAACACAGCAGCATGTATGTATGTTTTTATGTTTGTATGTTTGTTTGTTTCACAATGGAGTCTGATGGCTTCATGGTCCAGAAACAGATTGACTGAAGAGAAGTGCTGTGATGTGGTCCAGTGTAACCAGAGTACTAAAGTCTGTCAGTCAGTCTCATGTTTTTTCACACATTCTGTAGATCAGGAGCTCCCAGTAGCTCTTCACCCCCTTCTGTGAAGCTCACCAAGGGATTTCTGAATTATATGTATTGTACAGAATAACAACAAGTTGATGATTTAAATGCCCATTACTACTGTAAAAATATTATTTAGATTCTTGACTTTGTGCACTAATAAATCTTTAATGGTTTATGTTTTATATAACCATTCCCATGTACAACCGGTTGTGGCACATAAAGGTTTAAATCAAAAAACAAAGATCATTTCGACTGTTCACTCACTGAGGAACACAGAGTCGAAACTGTGAGGCATGAAAACAAACTCGACTTTGGTCTGAAAAAAGTATGAGTCAGAAACAAACAGTTACTGCACTGATGGACATTGATAAATGTTTGAATTGCACTTGTCTACCTCCTCATCTCTTCTTGGATGTTTGTCTCGAGAGCAGTGTTGGTATTTGACTGACAAGTCTCTACAGGCCCTTCCCGCCCAGGCTCTGTGAGGAAGGTCTGAATGACCACTGAGCAAATCCTCCAGGTCACCCATCATATAGTCAGTGATATGTCAGTGATAACTCAAATAAGAATGATTTTGTATTGAAAAGTTCCTATTTGTCTTATGTGTCTTTTCAGAACTGTTTCTGAAACAGTCTCGTTTGTAGCACGGAAATTGATCACCTACATTTACACTGTACAAGCACAATTGTTCTAAATACAGAAGTTCCTTACTGGATTAATAAATACAAATTTGTGTGCATAATGATACAATTTGAGATGAAGAAAAAATTTATATGTAAAGTATTTTAGCTTCAATAAACTTTTTTTTCCCCCCAAGAAATTAGACTTCTATTGCAGTTTATGCACTTAACACCCTTCTGCTTTAGGATGATCGTTTGTTCAGATATTGTGGAATCGTTTACATCAGTACCTAAACTATTCTTGCATTATTTTTTGTGATAAATGTGTTCACCTCAAGCTTTCATTTAACTAAGTATTCCCTTTTAGATTCACAACCACTGAGTAAGTCGTTATAGAAAATAAAATAAAACAGATTTTGGAGCACATCTTACCTGGCAGCTGCAGCAGTGAATCATAGACTTTACACTGGATCTGCCCGGTGCTCTGGGAGGCACACGTCTTCCACAGTCCCTCGTAAAGAGCTTGAGCTGTTATAATGTTGTCCCCCGCATACGAAGAGGCTTTCCACTCCACCATCACTGTGGATGCTATGGTCCCGATGAACCCCAGGAAGGCCAGGGTGAAGCCCAGCAGCTGCAAGCCGGCGTTGGCCATGGCACAGGGAGAGTTCGGGGGAGAGGAGCTTCCAGGAGGGAGTAGGACGTGGAAATGGGGCAGTGGAGGAGCTCAGTGAAGGCAGCTGTTACCTGCTCATGACCTGCAGCAAAGGATGGTCCTGCATTCCAGCAGAGGAGAAGAAGAAGCAGCAGCAGTGGGACATCTAGTGGAGACCAGGTAAAGGTGCATACCACAAGAGAACAGTTGATCAAAATCAGAGGTGGGACCAAGTCGTTGTTTGGCAAGTCTCACGTAAGTCTCAAGTCTTTGACCTCAAGTCCAAGTGAAGTCCCAAGTCACCAGCCCATAAGTCCAAGGCAAGTCCGAGTCATCTGCTTTGAGCTTCAAGTCTTTAAACCAAAGTACAATTTTTTTGTAATTTATATGACTTTTAAAGTAAATTGTACTTAAAAAGTCGTGGTATATTTATATAAGAGTTGTACAAATTAAAAATTTTCCTTTTTAAACGTCTTGACAAGATCTTAATGTGAATCATTATTGTAAGAATAGAAAGAATTCACATTTAAAAGTGCTTAATAACAGTTATTTTGTCGTGTTCCTTAAAATGAAGGGGCATGTTCTCTGCAGTTCCCTCTGTTTTACTGTATTGTACTGTATATTTCTATAGTACATTTGAGGATCTCAATACTTCAGTTCCATCCAAAGTAACAAATGGAGAAGTGGGAGGGACATGTTACAGTTTGTTCCTTTAAAATTAAGCACCACATGTATCAATTGTAAAGAGAAAAGTATTTTCTTTTATACATATTTTTTAGGAGAAGTATCAAGTCTTCTCAAGTCACAATGCTCAAGTCTCAGTCAAGTCCCAAGTCTTAGTCCATTTTATCAAGTCAAGTCTCAAGTCCTAAGAACAGTGACTCAAGTCTGACTCAAATCCAAGTCACAATTTGCAAGTCCCCACTTCTGCTAAAAATGAATGATTATTATTGATTCTCTCATGGACAATGATCAGATGTTCTGTATAATCCATCAGAAATGTGCTGAGACAGGCCTGTAAATGTCTTGGTTTAGGTTACAGTGCAGTCTTCATTCATTACATGATTGGTGGTAAGAAGCTGCCACAGCTGCTCCAGTGGGTGAAGAGTCTCCTACTCCAGTACTACCCAGCTCCACTTGCTTAGATTCTAAGATCTGATGAGATTAGACTTTAACCAACAGGTATGCAAATGACTGTACAATTAATTCAGTGTTTCTGTGTTGACAAATTACAATAAATACTCAAATCTCCTGTAAGTTTTATTAGAATTAAATTACTTGACAAGGCTTTATTCATTTCTCTCATTCCGCTTATTGTTGAGGAGATAGTTTTTGTCTCTGAAGTTTGAGCTCAAACATATAAAGGGTGAATATTCTGTAGAGAATCCTGATGGTACAGGGCACATTTTCCTATAGCTTTTCCAACTTCAAGGCACTCAAAGCACTTTAACAAGGAACCACTCACTCACATACACTCATACACCAGTGCACACGGACCCTGGGGGCTAAGTGTCTTGCCCAAGGACACAACAACAGCATTCTTCTGTGGGAGCTGGAAGTACACCAGCCAACCTGTGGGTCAGTGGATCTGCCCACTCAACCCATGATGTTTTTTTATGTTGAGAGTGGGATTCAAACCTCCAACATTCAGATCAGTGGACAAACGCTTTACCAACTGAACTACTGACGCCCTGAAAATACTTCGACAATATTATGTAATCCATGCAATCAAGGGTGAAAATGGCCTCATTTAACACAAAAGGTGAATGGACTGTAAAATAAAACAAAGGTAAAGAGCAAAGAGTAAAGAGAAATCACTTTATATCCTTTTTTAAGATGTGGATGACTGAAGATTATTTTAAGACTTCAAAACTTCAAGTCTTTTTTTTTAATCTTTATTTGTTTTTATTGTATAGTAGACTATGCTCATGACATTGTAATTGTGCATATCTGACTCTATACATGCACTGTTTCTGACTACATTTTAAAATAATATCAATATAATTTCACATAGTTTTCAATTCCCTTGTGTCTTTATAGAAACAAACGTGGCATTATTACAAATTTGCTGAAAATAGCTGATAAATACCTAAGTCCACTTTGCTAACCATGCAATATTTTCTCTTTTTTCCTGTTTTCAGAGAACTAGTGATTTCTGTTCGCTGTGCCTTCACTCGAGCCTCTGGCCAAAGGTTCTGTTGCCTCATTCAGCTTGGATGTGTTCATTTGCTCTCTGCGTTGGCTGGAGTTTACACATACTCTGGTTTTACAAAGTAAGTAGACATATTTTACAACTTTTCTTTTGTGTATCGCTCATCTAATCCTGAAAATTAACCTTCTGCAGAGAGAACATGTCCAAGCCGGTGCTGATCTCCATTCTTCTGCTGTTCCTTTGCTTGGAGTGGAGCAGTTCTTATTGTCCATACCAATGCCAGTGCTTCAGCCCAGTTCAGGTGCTGTGTGCAGAACGATTGTCATCTCTACCACGAAACATCTCCCACGAAGCTCGAGAACTCATCCTGATGACCTCCTCTGTGAGCTACCTTTTCAGCAACACTTTGGAAGACAGCCCCCAACTCACCAAGCTCATTTTCCTGAACAATGGCATCCGTAGCATCCACATGCACTCCTTCAATCATCTCACCCAGCTGGAGGAGTTGGAGATCAGCGGGAATCCTTGGCTGGAGCATTTGTACCTGGGGACCTTTTCTAACCAGCACAACTTGACTAAGCTAATTCTAAACTACAACCGCTTCAAGACGGTGCTGCCGGGGATGTTTGCATCCCTCAGAAAACTGGAAACTTTGGAAATGAAAGGTAACATTATCTCACGTCTTCCGCTGTTGCTTTTCTCAAACTTGAACCATCTCAGAGTCTTGGATCTGTCTCTGAATAAATTAGAAGATGTTACACAGGAGACGTTTCTTGGTTTGGGCCAGCTGGAAATTCTAAAACTGAAACATAACTTGCTGAAAAATCTTTCTTCTGACTTGTTCAACGCCATTCCTGAATTGAAAGAGTTTCACTTGGAAGGAAATAAGATCTCTGAGCTGAGCGAAAACGTGTTTATGAATTTAACCAACCTGAAAGTGTTGAATCTTAGGGGAAACTTTCTAAAAACATTTACTGGTCACATTTTTGGAATTTCAACTTTAAATTTGCAAGAACTGAAACTAAAAGGCAACAATCTTAGTGATTTTTTTCCACTGGGAAACTTTACATCTCTTACCAACCTCGACTTGTCTTCAAATCACCTGTCCACTCTTCACAAAGACGTTTTTCAGAATATGACAAACCTGGACATTTTGGACTTATCCGATAACCAGATCTTCATTTTGCCTGAGACTATTTTCAATGATCTTTTCAGCCTCAGAGTGTTAAATTTACAAGCTAATAATTTAAGTGTGATTGAACCCAAACTATTCGAAGACCAAGCGTTAATCGAGCAACTTAACCTGTCCTTCAACCGTCTGAAGACTCTACCAGAAGGACTGATGGACACCTTTTCAGTGCACTACATGTTACGACTCCACGGAAACCCTTGGAAATGTGACTGCGGGCTGTGGTACCTTCACGACTGGGTTTTGAGGAACGAGCAGAGCGTTGAGATGATTGACAGGACACTATGCGACAGCCCGGCGTTTCTGAACAGAAGATCGCTGGACTCTGTCGAGAAGGAGCAGCTCGTTTGTCACATGGGCAAAGAAAACGCCGTCGATGTGAGGAACTGTCTGCTGCAGGTGTCCGGTGACGCGGTGATAATCAAGTGTAAAGTGGAGACGTGTTTGCCGATAACGGTGAAGGTCGAGCTCCAAGACGAACAGGGGAATGTGAAAGAGCACGTGGTCAGGAATGAATGGACTCACAGCGCCAAGTGCAGCAATATGTCTTTAGAATAGATTTTACTTTTGATGTTGGGAGAATAATTATTGTTAAATGACCAGCGTTAAGGCAACCAAACATGAGAGTGTTCTGAAGACTTACTGGTTCATCTTTTATAGATGTTGACTGTCGTTGTTATGTGTGAACTTCAAATCGGATAGCAAAGGAGAAATTCAGTTTGTCGACCGGACAAAAGTTAGTTTGGTCAAATGTCCAGTCCAGACAACAAACTGAATTTCTCCTTTGCCATGGTACCTGGACGACTGAGGGATTTTTCACACTTCAAATCAACTAATTATCTTTTTTTTTTTTTTTTTTTTAGTTATTCACTTTATTCCATCCCTCTTTTGACTTTTTTTTTGTTTGTTCTTGGGCTCTCTGATCACTCGCATCAGATTTTGAAGTTTGTATGTCACTTAAATAAATTTAGAGGTCCAGAAATCAGATCATAATCAGATTATAGTGAGCATTCTAAAACTGAATCATAACTTGCTGAAAAATCTTTCTTCTGATTTGTTCAGCGCCGTTACTGAATTGAAAGAGTTTCACTTGGAAGGAAATAAGATCTCTGAGCTGAGCGAAGACCTGTTTATGAATTTAACCAAATTGAAAGTGTTGAATCTTAGGGGAAACTTTCTAAAAACATTTACTGGTCACATTTTTGGAATTTCAACTTTAAATTTGCAAGAACTGAAGCTAAAATGCAACAATCTTAGTGATTTTTTTCCACTGGGAAACTTCACAACCTCTCTTACCAACCTCGACTTGTCTTCAAATCACCTGTCCACTCTTCGCAAAGACATTTTTCAAAATATGACAAACCTGGATATTTTGGAATTATCCGATAACCAGATCTCCATTTTGCCCGAGACCATTTTCAACGATCTTTTCAGCCTCAGAATGTAAAAAAAACAAAAAACAAAACTGTGACGAAGACAGCCAAAACCAAAATCGGTCTGCCTCGACCAAAATTATGTAAAAATATCTCTCACCAGTTCTTCCAACAGTATTATAATGGAAAATCCTTCCACAATAACATACCAACTACTGTAGGTGTTTGTTTTTTCATTCACATATGATTGAGTAATGTGTATTTTTTTCAGTAATTTATCTATAAAAATCTGTGTACTGATGATTCAACTTTTGTAATGCCGTCATATACAATTTGTAAATCACAATGCACTGGAAATAAATGCATCTGAAGTACAAAAACACTGATAAAAGTTTTGTTTGCACATCTTTAATAACAGTTTGTGATTTAAAATAGTCAAACTGGATTATAATTCTCAGATTGTGAATGAAATACTAGTAACAAGTGTTATTGACGTTTCGTCTGAGTCAATACAGTAGGGCTTTAGTCAGCTGATAGACAGTACGGGGGCTGTACGGGGGCTGCTGGTCAAAGGTCAAGTCAACACTGTTCCTGAGTGAGGACAGTGAGGCTCATTCACCTATTTGACTTTCTATTAAAACTCAATGTGACTTAACATTACAGTAAAACCTCCTGGTACCAGCCAATCACACTAAACTACTTTTGTCTCTCAACCAATCACAAGTCAGTTATTTACTTTCTTTCCCCTCCACTATACAGCATTTTCCTACTACTCTTCATTTCCTCCACAGCAGCAGAATCATCAGCCACCTCAACCTGTCGTCTCTTCATAAATCTGTCTAGGCCCATGGAGCAAACACCTTTTCCCACAAACCCTCCAATGATACGTTACGACCGAACTCGCCGGGTAACAAAAAAAAAAGGTGGAAAATGGAATAAATGAGTAAAAGATAAATTAACAAAACAGGCTAAAATAGGTACAGAAAATAACCTAAACTTAGAAACAAAATAACAGGATTAACATATGAGTTTTGTGTCAAAAAAGGGTCACGCAGGTCTATACAAAAACGAATGATTAAACTAAGGGACACACAATGAAACTAAAACACAAGTGCCCCAAAGTAAAACCACATAAACCCACAAACAGAATCCAGTGACAAAATAAAAAAGGCACAAAACAGAACTAAACTAAACAAGTTTCTCAACACAAAACAAAATCAGACACGTACTAGTAAAAAATGAGAGACTGACTCTAAAGAGACACACAGACAAACTGCAGCCCTGAACAGGTGCTGCCAATCTCCTTAAACAGGGGGCGGAGTCTGCAGGTGAGGTGGGCGTAGACAAACCCCACCAATCACAGACCAAGACTCTCACAGCAGGAAGCTAGCCTGATTCATCAGCCGGTTTCACTTTGTAGAAACTGTCTGACCTCACAGCATTAGGATTCGTTCGCTCGACGGTAGGCGGATACTTTTTTATCCGCCTACCGTCGAGTGTGTGTGTGTAGTAAATAGGTTCCATATTGGTCCGTGGTTATTCAGGAAAGCTTAATTTCTGTCCTGTGAATGTGACTTTTTTAGTATCAATACCTGCTCAAATTAATATAGTTTTCATTACTAGTTTTAGTGTTGATTAGTATCTGATTTCCTATACCTCTGACAACTCTAGCTCTGACCACTAACATGAATTAAATATATGTCTTTATAGAGCCATGTTGTGTTCCAGTGTTGTGTCACACTAGACAAAACAAAAGTCTAAACAAAGTGCAGCCCTCCTCAGCTGAGTGCTCTTGAAAGCTGCTGACAGAGAGCTCACAGATGGCTCCTCCTGAAGACACTGGCCGGCCCCGTGGTTTAACAGGGGTCAGAGGTCACGGGGTCGACTGGGTCGTCGGACCTTCTCAATGACATCGCCCGTCGGCACAATAGCACTGTCCGTCTCACTCCGAGGCTGAGACTGAAGAGGGGTAATCCTCAAACCGCAAGGACCGAGCTCATAAGAATTCAGCGCTTGGCTCCTTTGATTTTATTTTACTTTATTTTATTTTATTCATCACATACAGATCTGGAGTTGTGTTTTGTTTCATTCACACATGTTTAATACACAAACCCTGCACATTTAGTTCTTCTCTCAAGCCTTGTGATGTCACCTGATAATGCAGGAAGTGCTCCACTGTGTTTTTAAACTTCATACACCTTCACAAGAATCATTTGGATGATTTCAGCCCTGGAATTGCCAATCTACTGAACAAAAGGTAAAAAGTAGCTGTTAACTTGAAAACATTTTGCATTTTGAAAGCATTTTGAGCTTTGGAGATGTGGATACTAAAGAATAAAGTTACTCAAACGTGTGAATGAAACAAAACACAAGTCCAGGTCTGTTTTTTGAGGAGGTAACAACATTCTAACATGACTTCTTTATGACTTAAAGCTCACAAGAGTCAATTTTTCATAACATAGGACCTTTAACTTTCATATAGAAGAGTCAAAATACACCAAGGGGCTCTATCTACAGGTGTCTGGGGTTAGGTCACTTACTACAGACAGGAACCATCATGGCCTTACGTGGAGCAACAGATGGGAGCGTGGAGGCATTGTGCGCTGTGTGGCTGCTAATGAACCTAGTTAATGTGCATCCTTATCAAAACTAACGGGACAATAAACCAACTAACTACGACTGGCAGTGAGTGATAAGGACAGTGAGGAGCATTGATCAATCACCACCAATTAGCCGCCCTGCTTACTGCCCGACAGGAACCCCCTGGACCCTCGCCCTCTCATACTGACCAGCACAATGTCCCGGCCACACAAAGCAGGAGTTTCTCACACAGTTTAGAGAGGACATGGAGGTGGGTGGGGCCAGGGCAGGGCTGGGACAAAGGTCAGGGGTCACACAGACTTCAGGCCACTGGCTCCGGACGGAACAGTGGAGCTATTTCCTGGATCACAGAGGTAGAGTCACATCAGCTGATAGTATTTTTATAATATCTTGCAGCTTCTATACTAACAACACTACAGGAACATCACACAACACACATTATCATCACTAGGGGTGTGCAAAAATATCGATATATCGTATTGTTTAATGTGATGATACAGTATTTATATTGTGAGCTGCTGTGTCGATATATCACCAAGAGTATTTTTTGGTATATTTTGTTAAATTATTTTGTTACAGAGATACAGTTTTGTTGTTTGTTCAGAGGAAGGAAACTTGTTTATGCGACACATTTGACATTTTCACTGTTTTGAGGATTAAAATGTTTGCGTTTCATATGAACTTTGCACTAGAAGTGGTTTAACAAAGACTTTTAGTATCACAGTCATCATTTAATTATTTTTTATTGAAACATATCGAATTGATTTGAAATATAATCGTATCTAATTGAAAGTGCACTGTATTGTACCGTGGCCTATTTATCGAGGTATGTATCGTATCGGCAACTCTTTAATGATACTCAGCCCTAATCATCACACAATGATTATCACAACATCAAAAATGTAAATGGGATCATTTTGTATTTTGTAACATAGTTACGTACTATTTATACAGAGATATTAGTCTGGTCACTGCTGCTTTGGTCACACCTCGAGCCAGACTCAGACTGTCCAGTCAGATTTGTTTTTGTTTTATTCAGTGACACGTTTGAACTGAAGGAGCTCATTGATCAGACATCATTTTGAATACAATTACATTTCTCTCATGTTTTCTAGTCCCTGGTGATATTGTTGTTGTTTTTTCTCCTCACTGCAGCCTTATTTGTTTGGATATGGACAGACCATGTGTGCCCCTGATCGGCTCATCCACATGTCAATCACACATGTGTATTTGGAAGTGTGTATTAACACCATCCAAATCTTTCAGCAATTCTACAGCTCTCAGTTTTACTCTGGCAGAGTAAAGGAGGCCACATCCTGCAGGACCAGAGAATGTTCTCCACATGTTGGGTTAGAATAGAACAGTAGAATGAAGGAGCTGCAGGGGGAGAAGTGTGTGTTTTAGAGTGAAATCAGTAGCAGAAACAATCATGTTAACTTAACTTATAACTTTTACGAGATAAAGAAAGTGAAACATTTATATTGTCCCAGTCTTGTATATAAAATATAATATTTTACAGCTTGTTTGATTCCTAGGAAGCAATCAGAGATAATTCAACTCTCTTATTTCGCTTTGTATTTCAGTCAATGACCAACTTTAGCATCTTCATTACCAACACAATTAAGACCATCACAAAACACAGCTCTGATTTGAATATCACTGTTTTGTCTTTTAGCCATAATCCAGATCTCTTCAGTGAGTCGTAAAATGAGATCTTTATGTGACAGGTGTCCATTAGCTCCTCCGCCTCGGCCCATGGAGCAGACACACCTTCTTCATGATACAATGACCCAAACATCCCCAGCAGACAAACGTCCCCTTTGCTCTCAGACAAGTGCTCCTGCTCACAAACACGCACCATTCTTCA